ACTCCCAACTGTTTGCCAAGTCTGTTCAAGTCTGCTCCAGTTTCCCACTTGACAGAGACTGCTAAACTACATTCTTAGTGTTTAAAGAGATTAGGAGTTGTGACCTTTTCCTTTCGCTTTCTGAAGAAACATGTGCAAAGAAAAATTTAAAAACCAAAATCACCCATAATTCCATCAAGCAATAAAAAAGAGATAACAACAGGACTTTAAAAATATAGAATCATAATATATTTTGATTTATATTTATTTTCTGGTATTCTGATTCTTAACTCAATAAAAGGTATTTACCAGAAACCTACATCAAACTTCCAACACCATGCAGAAGTTAAACATGCCCTACAACGTTGAAAACAACTCAAGGATAGCTGCTATCATTGCTACCACTTAAAATTGTATTGCAAATTTATGCCAATGTAAGAAGACAGGAAAAAGAAATAAAATGACTAAATATTGGGAAGGAAAAGGCAAAACTTATTTATAGATAAGTACCAGAAAATGTGAGATGTAAAACATTAAGAAACTATTAGAAATCACGAAAAATTTTAATGAAAACCACATACAGGATCAAAACCAATTGTTTTTATTTACACTATCAATAGTAAACTAGAAATAGTCTTTAAAAATCCCATTCCCAATAAACACAAAGAACTCTATAAAATACATGACAATAAACAACATGACGTGCAAGACTTACACAAGAAAAATTGCATTAGTGAAGGACATAAGTGAGGACCTGAATAAATAGACATATTGACAGCTCGATGTTGTCGAGGTTTAATTACCCTAAAATTAACCAATATGAATTTTTTACAAATTCCATCAAAATTCCAATGGGATTTTTCAAGAAATTTAATAAGCTGTTTCTAACATTTGTCTAAAATTAAACGAGCAAAAATAGTCAAGAAAATGTTGAAAAAGAACAGTAAGAGATCCTTTGTCTTGCCACATATCAGAGATCTATAGTAATTTTTAAAATATGGTTTTGGCACATGAATAGACCAAAAGGTCAATAGTACAGAATAGAGTCTGGAAAAAGACGTATAAATATATGTGAATTTAGAACATGATCATGTTGGCATTTCAATTCAATAAAGAAAACATGGTGGGCCAGCCAAGTGGCACTTTGGTTAAGAGCTGACTTGGGACACCAGCTCTGAGCAGCATTAGGATCCCACATTAGGGCCAGTGACACTGTGTCCTCTACTGCTAAGATGGTGAACAACAGCTCGACCTGGAGCTGGGCTGCCATAAAGCTACCGAGTGGCTGGCATCCGGCGTGAGCTGCCAAGAGAATCCATGAGTGGCCGTCCAGTGGCTGGTGACTGATCTGCCTCACTCGGGAAAAGCGCAATGATAATACCAACATGGGCCAGTGAAGCGACATCCTCCACAACTAGACTGAAGAACAAAAGGACAGCAACTTGTCGGTCCTCCTTCCCGGATTCCCCCATGCTGTTCCCCAACTCCCCAATAAAATCTTAAAAAAAAAAAGAAAACATGGTATTGGGATAACTGGCTTTCCATACAGAGTTAAAAATTTAGCTCCCTACCTGAAATATATGACAAAATAAGTTATAGATGGTGTGAATGCTAAAAAGTTAAACATAAGTGGAAATAAACTATGAAAATTAAAGAAGGAAATATAGGTGAATTTTTGTATCATCTTTGGGTGAAAAACCTGTTATAGGTAAGGTTCTCCAAAATCAAGCTCTAAAATGGAGCTTAATGGGCAAGGGAGCACTTTAGATTCAATACTCATGTGAGAAGAGAAGAAATCAGGACTGAGTAGAAAGGTTGTGTTGCCATGCAATCATGATAAGGCCTCAGCCCACCCCACAGAGAGCTCATAAGCTGCAATGGGCCCAACTTAAAGTGAGGACATTGGGCCTTAATAGCCCCAAATCATTCAGGCATTGGATGCAGGCTGACCCCACAGGGGATGTGACCTTGGTTGAGTCTGAGAGTAAATTCTTACAGAAGGCTGATGGCTTAGGCCCTGGAGAGATCCCATTTGTGCAGTGCAGCACCTACATTTGAGCAGCTTCAATCAATTTCTACCTTTAAGTTTAAAGAGCAGCTCCTCCAAGATCTGGGATCTTTCTTTGGGGAAAAATTACAAAAGGAAGATTAGTGGAATGGCCTACAGCTTCTACCATTGCAAGTGGTCTTGAAGCCATAACTGATACACAGTATCTCCTTTTCTCTCCATTTCAGAGTCCCCTTATCCTTCCCTGGCACCTCTGCTAGTCCAGATGGCTTACTTGGTGAGGTGACCCAGACCCTCATCTGAGGTTCTGAGCCTCTGATCACCATGTACTTCTCAGGCCATGGCTACTGTACTTGTCATTTATCCTCAAGACTGAATAAGAGAATAGCAAGAGATGCTCAAGTGGAGCCAGCCGAGTGACTCAGTTGGTTAAGAGCACGAGCTCTGAGCAACAGGGTCGCCGGTTCGATTCCCACATGGGCCAATGAGCTGCGCCTGAGCTGAGCTACCGCTGAGCTGCCAACAGGTGGCAGGATGGCTAAGCTGGTGAGAGCACATGCTCCTAACAACAAGGTTGCCAGTTGGACTCCCGAATGGGATGGTGGGCTACACCCATCCACAACTAAGATTGAACATGACACCTTGAGCTGAGCTGCCCTGGGCTGCCAATGGGCAGCTGGATGGTTCAGTGGTTAGAGTGTGCACTCTTAGCAACAAGGTTTCCAGTTCGACTCCCACATGGGATGGTGGGCTATGCCCACCCGCACCTAAGATTGAGCACGACACATTGAGCTGAGTGGCCATGAGCTACAGATGGGCAGCCGGATGGCGACTGGACTCAGAGCTGTGCTAGCTGCGCCCTCCACAACTAAGATTGAAGGACAACAACTTGGCTGTTCCCCTTCTCCAATTCCCCAATAAAATTTAAAAGAGAGAGAGAGAGAGAGGTGCTCAAGTGGAGCATCTTGTAGTATCAGAAAATAAAAAAGCGTTAAAAAACCCCCACAGTGATGGGGGTGTGTCAGAGACTCAGGAGCCAACTGAAAGAGATACCCAAGGCCAAAGCTGGAGCACTTTGAGAAAAAAATAGTATTGGATTATAACCCAGAGTATAAAATAAATATCCATGAGTCCATATTGATACAAATAAATAAATAAATGCATTGGGGAAAAGAAACAAATCTCCTGTAAACAAGAATTCCAAATAATTTAATTAGATACTCTGCTCTAAAGGAGGGGGAGCATAATTCCTTACTCCTTACGTGTGAATTGTCAATAGTGACTTCCTTCTAAAGAGTACTATATGAAAAGGCGAAAAAAGAGCCTTTACAGTAGAAAATCCTGACAAACACTGCTTAAGACAGGTGATCCAAGGTCAGCATCAGCTGTGGTAAATCATGTTGGTAGTATGTACGTTTGATATGACGTGATGAAAAATGGTACTTTCCTTCTGTGGTCTTCCTCCTCCAAACCACAAAATCCAATCTGATCTTGAGGAAAACATCAGATAGAACCACTTGGGAGACACTTTTCAAAATACCCGACCCGTACCCCTCAAAATTGTCAAGGTTATCAAAAACAAGGGAAGTCTCAGCAACAGTCACAGCCCAGAGAAGCCTGTGGAGATATGATGACTAAATGTAATGTGGTACCCTGGATGGAATCCTGGGGAAAGTGGGGGGATTAAGTAAAAATTAAGGAAATCTAAATGAAGTATGAATATTAGATAATAGCAATAATGTATCAATATTGGGTCACTAATTATAACAAAAGTGCCATACTAATATACCATGTTGATTATAGAGGAAATTGAGTAGAGAGCGTATGGGAACTCGGTACTACCTGAAATTTTTCTGTAAAACTAAAGCTATTCTACAATTAAGAGTTGGTTTTTAAAGGGCCCAGAAAAGCAAGTTGTAAAAAGATATAAATTCTATTATATACCTGTCTGATCAACTAATTTTTTTAAAAGTCAGTGGTTTGTATTTCTCCTGTGTACCCAAGCACTATACATAACATGTATACCTATAGAACGGTGCTGTACAGCAGTCATCAGTCAGTCACATGTGGCTATTTAAATTAGTTAAAGCTAAATAAAATTATAAATAACATTTACTCAGTCATACTAGTCACATTTCAAGTGCTCAATAGGTGGTTATCATTTTTGGACAGCACAGGTGTGAAATATTTTCATCATTGAAGAAATTCTATCAGACAGCCCTGCTGTAGGATACAAGTGTATATATATATATATATATATATATATATATATATATATATATATATATAATCACTGTGTTGAAAAGGCACTCAGAAATACACACCAAATAAGTGGTTACCTCTGGAGAAAGTTCACTTTTTATTCCATAGCCTTCTGTATTAATTCACTTTTTATTCTATATTCTCTATATTCTTTCTATTTTCATAAGGATATATTTGTTATTATTTGTGTAGTTAGAAATGTTCCTCACTTTAGTTTTAAAATATTTTTTATTTAAAAAAAATGGTGCATAAGATGTCCTTTAAGTGAATTTTTTCCCTTTGTGTTTCTACCATTTTCCATTTGTCTAGTAGGGGCAATATTTATTTAGCAAAACTTAGCACTGAAAGGCTTCTCCAAATCTTTGTCATCTGATAATCAAGCAATTATGATCATAGTAACACAAGTTACTAACTTTTCCTAAATTGTATCTTGATTTTTTTAAAAATGAATAAAGCAAGCAAATACAGAAACATAATTTATTCCTAACCCAACTTTTAAAAGTTATACCCAATTTAAATAAAACAGATTTTCCATTATATTCTCTTCCCTATTGTTCTCAGAACTCTTCCCAAAACCCCAAAAAGGGAAAGTTTAATTACTTTTCAGTGGATGGACTTTTTAAAAATAGGTATGTGTGTATCTATTAATGTGCTTATTTGTATTTTTTTTTAATGCTAGGAGAATCACCTTGTTAAACATGCTCTTTAGTGCATATTAACCAACCATCAAATAAAAATACACTACAGCCCCAAAGGTGGAAAACAATATATTAATTTATTTCCAAGAAAACAATATGGAACATCATCAAAAACAAAGACAGATTCAGTAGTTTCAGGGCATCTCCAAGGGCTAGCTAAAACCTACTAGCCCAAACAGTACACTCTTTCAATACTAAAGTATTTTAAGACATAGGAGGGATGACCAGCAACGGACATGTAAACATCTTCTATTCCAAAACATTTTTCATTCTACATGCGAAAGATTCAGTGTAAAACATTTCTTCTTCACAGGTGGTGTCATTTAAATACGTTGAAAAATGATGATTTTTAGACTCTGCCATTAGCTCTTGGTGTGTCCCCTACCCTTGGGCCCTTTACCACCCAACACAGTTCCATCTTTTTCAGTAGCAGGAAAAAAAAAAAAAGGTTTTATTTTAAAGTCATTCCCTTTAAATATGATTAACATTCAATGAGCACAATTACAGAAAAAAAGAAAAGAAATGTGTTGATTAAATGCATCATTAGTCATAGTAACTGTTTTTCATTTGAATAAATAAATATTAAGGAACTCAATGGATTAGAGGAAAACAAAAGTAGACTTCACATTTTTCTGAGGTGACCAGGACTTTTTCCTCAATAGTAACACTGAGACCATTCTTAATTCCCAATTTCTTGGGTATGCTAAATATGACTTTATTTTGCCTTCTCTAATATTCCACCGCAGGAAATGAACTAAGACCAGTAGGAGAGTTTCAATTGTCAGACAGAGAACTTGTTTCCTAATGCTTGGTAACAACTTCTCTAGCCTCACTTACTTCATTTGCAAAACAGGGATAATAATGAGGATCATAAGAGTGTTGTGAAGTTTGAATGTAGTGAGCTAGCAGAATGCTGAGAACACACCAGGCTTTAGCTTCTGTCTCCTCCTTCCCTTCTCTCTCTAGGATAATTTGATTTTAACCTCAATTTGTAATTACTGAGATCTCTGGCCCAACATCACAATCTACACATCCTACATATGAATGTGTTAAAATAGAACCAATCTCTAAGGTTCTCTAGAGCAGCCTTTCCAATGTTAACATTATTACCAAGATTTTTAGAGTAAAAAAGCTTGTCTTCCTTTTCCTGCTAGTCTCAGCACATGTCTGGTGTATAACAGACACTCAAGAAATATTTATTGACTGCATCCGGAATGAACTGGATGAGTGATGGACAAGGGATAATGACAGAGATGCTTAGCCACAACTGAAAGCTCTTAAAAATCTAGGCATTCTTATCAGCACCAGGCATTATCAAGCCACTCAGAGAACATTATGGAGCTGTGAAAAGCCTTGCCTCACGGGATAGAATTCGGTCTCCATTTTGCAAGTAAGGTAACTTTGGTTGGGCTGAAGGGTGGTGACAGGAGAGGAAAGTGATTCATTCTGAGGTGTTAGAAACTTGAGACTAGATCCATGCAATAATACCACCTCACTTCTAGGAATACCTTCCTTCTGAGAGAACTTTTCAGCGTTCTCAATGAAAACTGATAGAGGGATCAGAGCACATCCGACATAATAAAAAACGCTCTGTTTCCCCAGGGTCCTTTTCCTGAAGCAGCAGGCAGTGACTGCTGTCATAAAGCACATCCTGTATATTCTACACTGAACTTTAGACGAGTAACTGAAAATGTTAAGTGTCGAAACTCAGGAACAAGATCTAGTTCTCAATTCTAGTAGCTCAAGTTTTAAAGGAGACGGATGAGTTACCAGAAAGCTGCTTGCATATCTGTGCGGTTAAGCCAAGAAAAGTGGTGTCCATGAATATACGGCTATAGATCTGTTATAGGAGATTCCCTCTTCAAAGAAACCCAGTTCTTATTCCCTAAATCACATTATCTACAATTCTCCTTTTCATTTGAACATTTATACATGATGAGAATCGAGCACAAAGATCTGGCGACAGTTACACTGACTATTGATCAGAACAAGAAACTGACATAGAGGTGACGTCAGGAAATGGCCAGAGTGGCCCAAGTACTAGGATTGCTCTGTGAAGCCATCCTGGTAACATACTTCACAGTGTCCGGTGGATCTTTCAACATACAATAGTGTAGCCAGTTCCTGAAGCCGTCACTTCAGTCCTGAAGCTGGGACCCAAGGCAAAGTTCTCTCACAAAGAAAGGCTCTTCTTCCCAACTGCTACCTATGTTCCTTCAGTCATGAGTTGCAGTCGATCAAAAATACCAACTGGGCTGTATTGCAGTTTCACTCTGATTTAGGGTTCTTTCTCGGAGTCTCAGTTCTAGGCATTCCACAGTAAGGGGGTACGTAGTAAGCTCAAACTTGTTAGCAAAAAGGCTTGGCGAATTAATCAACCACTTTAAATCTCCATTTCCATAGATGCAAATGCCGTGTACATAGTGGCCTGCAAAGGCGAGAACAAGAAACAGTCAAAACATGCTTGTGTTCCAAAGTCAGGGGTAGTGAACTTGCACAGTGGTAGTTACTGCCTGACTACTGAGTAGTCAAACTCTGCCACGTGCTATGAGAGTCTAAGGAAATACGATGGTGTAGGCCCAGCCCACAGGGAAGTGAAGACAAAGGGTACAAATATGGATTTGAAGAAAATGAGAGTTAAGTAATACAAAGTAAGAACACACTAGGCATCACGAGACAATTCATGTATTATCAAATCAGAGTTACAGATGAAAAGTTCTAGAAGTGTACAGGTGGGGGAGGTTTTTATGGGCTACACTGGTCAGTTCTCTCCCCTGAGCTCTGGCCTAGTCTATCCAAGTGCCTACTTTATATGTTTGCTGAGATGAGTAATAAAACCAACCAATATCACGTCAGCACTGAACTCCTTAATCCTCTCCAAGTCTTCCCCATCAGAACCCACGGCAATTTGATTCTTCAGTGCCCTCGGCACTACTTCCCTCTCTCTTATACCACACATCCAATCTGCCAGCAATTCTGTCTGCTCACCCTTCAAACTATTCATAGAATTTGACAACTTTCCACCACCTCCACAGCTACCATTCTGGTCCAAGCCACCCCCATCTTCCTGTCTGGTTTCCACACTAACTGGTTTCCATTGCCTTCACTTTTGCCTGTTAGTATATTCACAGAACAACAATCAGAGTAATTGTTTTAAATGTAAGCAGAACATGTCTCATCTGCTCAAAACCCTCTAATGGCCCCTCATCTCATGTGGAGTAAAAGCCAGAATCCTAGCAATGGCATTCAGGACTCCTCAGAGTTTGGCCCCTTGTAACCTGGACTTACCTCCCAACACTTGCTCATTCACTTATACCCCTTAAGAGCCCTTGCTCATTCATTCTGGCCACTGTCGTCTGTGCTAGTCCTAAGCGCCCCTGGCACGCTCTACTTGAGAATCTATAATACATTTGCTCTTCCTCCCCTGCACCTTCGCCTTCCACCAGCCATTCTCAGGTTCTCTCCTGGGCCGCCCCAGGTCTCTGCTTCAAGGCCATCTTTTCAACAAGGCTTTCTTTGGCCTCCTTTCCTCCTTCCCTAATTCATTTTTTTGGGTGGGGCACTTATTATATATATATATATATATATATATATATATACATATATATGTGTATATATACATACACACACACACACACACACACACACACACACACACATAGAGGGTGCCAAGAAAATGTATACCCATTTTAAGAAAGGAAAAAACTGTATTAAAATTGTAGTACTCAACATATACCGATAACAAAAGATGAACACGTCACGTTTGACTTCTGCAATTACAAAAGGTGCCCAAAGTGGTTACCATCAGCGTAATTTTAATACAGTTTTTTCCTTTCTTAAAATGTGTATACATTCTTTTGGCACCCTCTGTATATATATATATTATGAAGGAAAATAATATTTTGCCTTTCTTTCCAGACAACTGTTTATTGTCTTTCTCCCCAGATTAGAATATAAACTTCAGAAGAGCTGAATTTTGAGACCATATTGTCATATCGTTCACTTCTGTGTCCCTGGCATCTAGAACAGTGCCTGATAAATATTAAATGTTAAGTGAAAAATTGTTGAATAAAAGGATTGAGGAAAGATGAGTAGAGAGTTAGTGAATGGGTGAAGTTAGCAAGCATCAGGTAAAATGCCACTAGAAAAAATGTAGAGATGGGAATTTTCTGCTAGAATACGGAGTTTTTTTGGGGGAAGGAGTTAGAAACAAAAATGGTAAGAAGTCATAACTCTTTTCCAGAGGTTGCTTGGCATACAGTAGTAGAATTACTATGGACGACTGGCTTAAAATTTATCCCATAATTATAGAGAGTCTTTGAAGATTTTTGAATAGAAGAATCAAATGATAAAATTGATGTTAGCAAGCTTAATTTTGCAGAACTTTGCAGGGTACATTAGACATCAATAAAAAGACTGTAGTAAAAACTTAATGTAAACCAGAGAGCTTGTTCAGTTAATGGTTGCCATGAGTGGGAAGAGAAGAATATTAGAGCCTATAAGGAAAAACTGAGAGAATTTGATGATTATTTCAACATGGCTGAGAGGAAGTACAATAGAAAGTGAAATCACTGTGGGGGAAAGCCAGATTTATGGGAAGTTAAAGAATAACGGGGTGAAAGTTTAAGAATAACTTGGTGCTGGAAAGAACTGAATGCATAGGCGGCATGCCCATGCTTAAGAAAATGGAAATGAACAAGAGAAAATATTTCAGTCTGGATCAAGGAGAGGGTGCATGGACAACATGGTCTCCAGGACAGAGGTAATAAGTCCATACTTGCAGAGAGGAAAAAAAGAACCAGCAGAGGGGAAAACGCTGAGAATGCAAATACAAGAGAGCAAGGGGACAAGTTAGGGAGACCCATACATAACTGAGACCACAGATGGTGACCTTGGTTGTGAGGATGGGAAACTTTTCTCTTGAAACAGGAAGGAACAATGAGAGAATGTGTCCAAAATACTTTAAGATGGAGGGATGGGATGACATGAAAAAGGAATTGATAAGGGGATTTTGATCAAATGTCTTGAAAGTTCTCCCTAGAGTTTAATTATCATCTTTTGAGAGTGGAAAGGCTGTTTTAGCATAAGATTGAGAGCTTAAACGTGAGCAGGAAAGCTGAAAAGGTGTATGCTGGGATGGGCACCAGGAAAATAATGAGGTAAATAATAAGTAGGCAGCCAGGAGCATCCAGCTGAAGTTAGATGGCCGGTCCCTATAATACGTGGGTTTAGAATAGCTCTGTAACCACTCTCCAGCAATGCTCTGCTTGGGAAAACACAAATGGCAGAAAGCAGATGGTGGTAATGATTAAGCATAGAAATCAGTCTTGTAGGGTCAGATGGTAAGGGAATCTAAAATGTTAGCACGAAAGGGCTGATAGGGTGCACAGGCTGGACAAGGCATCCTGAGAAGAAAACTAGTAAAAGGAAGAAGCTGCAAAAGTTGAACCTCTGGAAACCCCAATTTAAAAAAAGCAAACACATTTAAAACAACAACAATATATTTTAGGTGTGGGGATTTGGCAGTGAACAATTTGGTAAAAAATCCTAGCCCTCTTGGAGCTTCTCTCCTATTCTTGGAAGAAAGACAGTAAATAAATATAGTATATAAAATGGTGAAGGAAATTAGTAGTGTGACAAAGAGATTGTAATCAGAGAGGGGAGCTCTAAGTTCAAGACCATAGAGCTAGAATGGTGCTCAGTGATTCTAAGTGCTAAGAGGGCTTAGAAAGCAGGTACACACACACACAGGTTTGGAACAAATCCTATCACTCACTGCCAAGGGGGAAAGGTCCAGGTTGTATTACTAACTTGGTTTGGAGTGCAATGTTCTATTGGGTTGTTGGAAAAGTAATGACGCACTTTTGTAAAGAAAAACATAGAAAAAAATATGTCATGAGTTTTCCGAGAACCCAATACTTCCTCTGGATTATGTCTTTTTCTTTTCCCTCTACAGTGGTTTTGGGAGGTGGGGTAGGGGGGACAAACAATTGTTATGCTCTGAACCTGGTAAGGCTTTCTGATGTTCATTGGTGTAACAGGTACCAAGAGAGAAAAAAATGAGACATTTGTCTGAGAGGGGCTTGAGCTACCCAAGCTTTGTACCCCATGTAGGTTCCTGGTGAGGGGATACTGTCATGGGCCACACCTGTCATGTGATCAGTAAACGTTCCTACAAAAAGGCAAACCTGACTAGCCTATACCTTCTCTACTGGGATAGGGCCTGGATGGAGGTGATGACAAGGAGGCAGAGGTAAGGCTCTAATTGGGGGTGGGGGTGGCTGCTCCACAGCAGAATGAGAGCTTCTGTGGTAAAGGAGGAGGGCTAGAGCTACAAAGGAATGACGTCACACGGGTCTGTTTTCTGGCTGTTGCTGCTGAAGAGGAGCTAGAGAAGCAGATCAGAGGAGAGACGGAGGTGACAGGGGTTATGGAAGGACGTGGAGAAAATGACGTGTTTCAAATATTGGGACCCTGACTGATGGTGATGGTCTGTTTTCTAAAGAAGACCAGAAGGTCAAAGAGCAAAGCAACCTCCTCTTCATCGTCCTCCTTCCAGGAGGAGGGCAAGCCATGATAAGAATGCAGGCAGGTGGCATGAGCTGTCCCTTGGAGAAAATGTGGGCTGGTTAAGATAAAAATACGAATATGCTTCAGAATACATTGAAATTTCTGTACAGTGACATGAGGATGTTGCCATCCACAATGAGAGGGGACCGTCAAGAGAAAAACACAAGAAGGTGATTGAGTGTAGTAGAGAGCTGTAGAAAAGTAGCCGTCTGGAGGTTTTCATCTGAAACATTAGGCGTAGACAAGACGGACCAATGAGTGAAGCCATAGATTGAGTAGAAGAGTGGAGTGAAGGAGGCAAAGCCTTGTTACTGCAGAGAAAAAGGTCAAACTCCCATATTCACGCACTCATTCGTTCACCTAATCACTCACTCACTGAATAAATATTAATTGTGTGCTATTATAGGCTGAACTGTCTCCCTTCTAAATTCACATGTTGAAGTCCTAACCCCCAGTACCTCAAACTGTGGCTGTATTTGATAGAGAGCCTCAACAGAGGTAATTAAGTTAAAATGGGATCATTAGGGTGGGCCCTCATCCAATATGACTGGTGTCCTTATAAGAAGAGATTAGGACACAGATGCACAGAAAGGGCAGACCATGTGAGGACACGTGGAGAAGACGGCCACCTACAGGCCCAGGAGACAGGCCTCAGAAGAAACCAAACCTGCTGACACCTTGATCTTGGACTCCCAGCCTCCAGGACAGTGAGGAAATAAATTTCCTTTGTGTAAGCCACCCAGTCTGTGGGACTTTGCTATGTTAGCCTTAGCAAACAAATACACCTGTCCACTAGGTACCAGGCAATAGTTTGAATAAAATGTATACCAGGACTGATTTTAAAATAAATAAAAAAAGACCCTTCTTCATGAGGTTCTATAGAAATGAAACTCCTTAGGGTTTCTAGTTTTTGTTCACTGGAGAAGAAATTTCTCTTGTTAGCGTCACCTGCCACCACGCCAGAAGCGCAGCAAACACTCCAAACCGGAAGCCAGTCCGTGGAGGGAGTAGAGACTGACATGAAGGGTGGGTGTCCAGCTCGCTCCGTGGTAAGGACATGACAACACCCTGACCACTTTCCCCTTCTACCCGCTCCACTCGCAAAAAGAACAGAAAGGAAGAATAAGAAAGCAGAAACTAGCAAGAAGAAAGTACCATTATAATCTGAACCTACCTCAACATCTCCCTAGGTAACTATGAGCTGGAGAAGGTCTATGTGATGCTTAAATTTACTTTTCAAGGCCTGTGTCTTAAAGTCTCCAGCTACCTTATAGAATAACTCACAGATCAGTCTAAATATACCAGCAGTTCTCTCCATGAAAACCCTGTTATTCCACAACTACCTTTACGCCGACACTAACAAGCAGCGTGGCCTCAAAATGCAAAATGAGTGCCTCACCATGGCAGCCTCCGTGTTTATCTTCCATGTCAATCCACTTTATAGCTCTGAGGTTCCCAGTCCATGATGCATTTGGCATGGCGCCAGGGACACCTGCAATGTTGATAAAGAAGAAAAGCAGAAATGAGAACCAAGAGAAAAGGGTATCGATTTCATCAATTAGCCCTCCAACTCATGCTTATTTCCATTCAGTATATTATCTTTCACATCAGGTTTGTCATCATTGGTGCAAGACCCCAGAGCTTATGGTTTAAATAGTTGGTGGTTATGAGCCTCGCCGTGCCACCAGTAAAAATAATTTGTTGATTTTTTTTTTCATAGTGTGTGACCAAGCCTGAAAAGTAGAGCTAAAACATACCATAGTGTAAAATCATAATGCAGAAGAGAAAGCTGGGGACTTCTGGTCTCTCAATGGCCTTTAATTAAATTTACTTTCAATCTTAACACTACATTTTTTTAGAAGTTTCCAAATGACATCTATCTTAAAGTACAAGGTCAGGAAACAGGCTACTCCGGGTTCTTAGTGCTCATATGTGAGATCCCAGGATTGCTCTTATATGAAGTTGCAATATTAGGTATACAGAAGGGGAACATCTTATTCACTACATATGAAACTCATAAACAAACCCTTTAACACACTCTACTTTTTATCTGTTAAAGTACTTCTTGAGCATTTGGTATTGACAAGCACTATGCTAGGAACTGGGGACAGAAAGAAACTAGACGTGCTTCCTGATCACCGAGCGAAGATGATGAATTGTCTTACTCCAAGCAGTAGGTTTTGAGCTTTGAATTTTTCCTAGAAGACTGGTATAAACTGATCCACTCATCTTCTCTATTTCTTTCAGCTGTTCTTTACCAAATGCTGTTGCTGACCCATTACCTAATTAGTATATTATCTAATTCACCTTTGAAATGTAAAGAATTAGGGGCAGAGGGGAATTTTAAGTTGTTATCTTGCTAAGCCAAGGTGTCTCTAGCTTGACATTATTAATTCCTTTTTTTTTTTTTAAGATTTTATTGGTGAATTGGGGGAGGGGGACGGTGTTGGGGAATTGGGGAAGGGGACCAGCCAAGTTGTTGTTCTTCAGTCTTCGTTGTGGAGGGTGCCAGTCGCCATTGACTGGTGGCAGCTTGTGGCCTCTAAGCTCAAGGTGCTGTGTTCAATCTCAGTTGCGGGTGGGCATAGCCACCATCCCATGCGGGAGTTGAACCAGCAGCCTTGTTGTTAAGAGCGTACACTCTATCCACTGAGCCATCCGGGCGGCAGTTCAGCTCAAGGTGCCGAGTTCAGCAGCCTTGTTGTTAAAAAGTACATGCGCTATCCACTGAGCCATCGGGCGGCAGCTCAGCTCAAAGTGTACAGTTCAGTCTTAGTTGCGGGTGAGCATAGCCCACCATAAAACAGGAACTCTTGTTGTTACATCAGCTGGGCCATCCTGCCACCTGTTGGCAGCTCAGCGACAGTTCAGCTTGGGCACAGCGTCACTGGCCCATGTGGGAATCGAACTGACGGCCCTGTTGCTCAGAGCTCGTGCTCTTAAGCCAACTCAACCAACTGAGCCACTTGGCCGGCCCAACATTATTAATTCCTTATTTCAGGTCCTGTCCTGTGCATTGTATCATGTTTAGCAGCACCCTGGGCCCCCAACCACTATATGCCAGTGATACATTTCCTCCAATTGTGATAATCAAAAAAGTCTTCCAACATTTCCAAATACTGTGGTAGACAGACTAATGGCCCCTCTCCCTCTCAACATACATTCAAAGAAGTTTGTATCTTAATCCCTGGAACCGGAGAATATGCTATGCTTTACATGGAAAAGGGGAGTTAAAGTTGCTAATCAGCTGACAGTGAAATAGGGAAATAGGGAGGGTGTCCTGAATTATCCAAGTGGGCCCAATGTAATCACAAGGGTCTTTAACAGTGAAAGATTACCCAAGACGATGGATATTTTTTTAATAAGAAAAAAGATTGGACAAGACTAATGCTTTTAAAGAAATTTAATTGAATTAGGCACATAAAATTTTTTCTTCTTTAAAAACATTAATAAAACCTTGTGCGTTTTTAGACGAAAAACCTCTGTACTTTTGCCCTGATGTCACATGATAATAATACAATGATCTAAATCAAGAATTGTACCAAGGTTTCCCAACTAAAATTAAATCTTGCACAGCTTTCCTGTAAATAGCATGAGTCTTTACTTACCCCTAAGGACTCTGTATCAGGCAAGATTCTTCTTTTCTTGCTGCTAAACTTGAAAACTTCCCTTAAAATGTTGGATATTCAAGAAAAACACTATTATTAAGCCATATTTCTCCCTATTGCTTTAATTTGCATGTAATGCTTTAAATTTTATTTTAGTGCTTGTTGATCCAAAAAGAAGCTTCTTTATTTTGTTTTCAGCACACATTTTAAAAGAATTTAGAATAAAAGTTGCCTGGTTAACTTGGGGGGTGGGGAGAGGGCAGCCTGGAAAGCAGAGAAAATCTGATATATTTACTCATGTCAGCAAGACTAGATTAATATTTTGATTAAATAACTACAGCAGAAAAACTGTGAATAAAATATTGCCATGGTGACAAGTTCCTTATCCACCTTTAAATGATTACATGTTTAAAAGGACAAGAGATTTTTCTTCCTCTTTCATTCTCATTAACATTGATCATCACAAACTGACTGTTACTCAGAATCACATCCCATTATTCTAGAGATAAGATCGTGACATTTATAATTACTGTTGTCTTTAAAATAAACACATGGCATCTATTAACTTCCTGCTAATAAAATTTCAAACCTCACCATATATAATTTCTGTTTGATGACAAATCTCAAATACATCTGTCCAACTATTATTCATGCTTCTGCATAAAAAATGGCATTTTAAAAAGCAGAAGCAGGGAGAAGGGCAAACACAAAGTTGATTTCTACTATGTCTCTTTTTGAAAAGAATTCTGAGGCACAGAAATATCTGGCAGAAATGGACAGAAAGCCTTGCTTTTCCAGTGTGTTTCTTGGACTGTGAGCATCACCCAAGAGCTTGTTAGAAATGCAGAATCTCAGGCCCCTCCCAGACCTCCTGCACCAAGTCAGCATCTTCACAAGCTCCCCAGAGGATGCCTAGACCCGATCAAGTCTGAGAAGCTCTGGGCTATCATCAACACTATGACAAGACACAGCTTCTTTTTCTCCTCTCCTTTAAGTCCTCCCTTCAGCCTTCATCAACTTTCCGAGTTAGACTCACTTACTCTCCTATTCTCCCTCAAATTCTGCTCTTATTAAGAAATCTGTAGGGCTGCCGAGTGGCGCGTTGGTTAAGAGCTGGCTTGGGACACCAGAGGGCCCCGGTTCGGATCCCTCATATGAGGGCCAGTGACATTGCCCTCTACAGCTAAGATGCGTGAGTTGCCGGCAACGGCGTAGCCTACAGCCCCTGCTGCAGTGGGTTCCCATGGGCTACCGTGTGTAACCAGCAGCCAGCGTGAGCGGCCAGCAGCCGACCGTGAGTGGCCGTCCAGAAGCCGGTGACTGATCTGCCTCGCCAGGGAAGAGCGCAATGATGGTGCCAACTTGGGCCAGTGAAGCAACATCCTCCACAACTAGACTGAAGAACAAAACAACAGCAACTTGTCTGTTCCTCTTCCCCCAATTCCCCAGCGCTGTTCCCATCCCCCAATTCGCCAATAAAAATCTTTAAGGAAAAAAAAAATCTGCAAATGCCTTTATAGCCTTCGGTTAATGTAACAAACTTGCCCCAACTGGGGGAATATATTTGCATTTTAGTAGACCTCTCAAATCACCTCCTTAAAGACAATCAGCTCATCTGTTGTAGGGAAGGACTTGTTGACCAGAGGGCCAGTCCTCACGGGGCCCTTAGCATCACAGCCCATAGGAGATACTGGATCAGTGGTAATGGAATGAATGAGTGTGGCACACGTGGGCTTCCCATCGACTTAGTCTTTGGTGCTGGTGGTGAGGACACTTAGCTCCTATGTGGATCAGACTGGCCTGGTTGCTGCCTTGGGTTCCCAATAGGCCACCATATTTAAGGAATAATAATGTTCTACTTCTCAGTATCAAAATGTATTTCTTCTATCTTTTTAGCTAGGGCCAACCTGTATCAGTATGCCCGATGGCAACAGCCTAAACGGCTATCAGTCACTTTATTCTGCACATTTGTCCTCCCTGGTACAACCAGCTTAGGGAGGAGATAAACGGTCGACTTCTGGTGACAGCTCAATTAGAACACTGTGTAGGCATAACTTGGTTACTATTTTGAAGAGATAACGACAAGCAAAAGATTGACTAGCCTAAATGCATAGTGCGCCCAGTGTTCAATAAGTTAATTAGCTTGGGTTACAATACATGGAGACCCCAAAGCTACTGATCCCTTCATTTGGGCCAACGTCCAGTTGCTCCTACTCCATAAAAGCATCTACTAAGCCCAACTCTGTTTCCTGTGTTTCTCCCAGAGATTGACTTCCAGCAAACCCTCTGATGGAACAGACACTGGCCAAGGAATTGGGGCACTTAGTTCTCATCCAGCTTTGTCATTAACCAGCTGTGTATCCTAGTACGTTATTTAACATCTCTCAGACTCACCTTTCTTACAAAGGAGGTGGATTAGGTCAGTGGGTTTTCAACCTTTTAGACTGCAATGCACAGAAAAACAATTCTACACCATCACACACACACACACACACACACACACACACACACACACACGCAAACAAAAGTTTCCCAAAATAACTCTTAGGCTTATTACATACAATACACTTGCTTATTTTATGCTACTTTCTGGTCTAGTCTCATGTTAAAAATTCTAGTCAAAACCGAAACGATTTCTGGATCCACTAATGTAATACAACTACTATTATAAAAATACTGGACTAGATGATTGTATTATTGTTGTTGCTGTTATGGTTATTATAGATTGTCAGGATGCTAGGAGGGTAGTTGTAGAGTATATGGGTACAAGTCTACCCTCAATTCACAGGTATCCAAGGAAGGGACTGCTTTTCATTCTTTCTAGGATGGGGCAAGAAGAAGACACCATATTATCAGAGAAAACATTTTTTAACTATAAAATCCA